GATGTCATGCTCTAGGCTTGTTTTAATGTGTTTTTCTCTTACCTTTTACAAGCTTCCATTGTGACAGTAATACACCTTGTCAATGCTGTTGTTGACTCGGTGGAAAAAGAAGGTATATATGTATGTATGTATGTGATGTAATTGCTGTGCTTACATTCTCGGCTTATTAATCATATAAGTGTGCATGTCTGGAAAATGATACCTGTTTCTTCATATGATAACCTTCTGTTATACCTGCATCATGTATTGTTTTCTAGTCCCTGTCTGCCCTCAGTTTGATCTAAGTGCTTTATTAGACTACATACTGTATATTGGTAGATATTCACATGAATGGACTTTCATTGCATCTGCTTGTCATAGCGAATGATGTAGGGGAATCCACAAAGGGGGTGACATCTTTTCATTGCATTGCCACTCAATTTGCATTATAGGACAATTTAAAACTCTAGCACAACATACATTATACTCCAGGATTTGAGCAACAGACACACAGATACATTTAGATTTAGTTAATAAAATAAATTGAGGGAAATTGTGAACTGTCAGTAAACACACTGAAAACACCACTGCTACAGAATTAAACTCCTGGACATAAGTTTATGTAACTTTTTCTGGCACATGATGCAGTGAGAGGTAGTCATCAATGTGATTTCCTAAACAATTTTGACATCTTGTGGTGTTGTGTTTGTTCTGGAATAATGCATACTATATGTTTTTTTTTATATATATATAACAAGATGTTGTTAGTTATACAAGCATTGCCATTTTATTTTCAATTATGTTTTTGGTTCAGAAAAAGATGTGAAATTGAGTGTTGAATAGAGATCATTGATCACTATGCAGATGTTTTGTATTTAATAGGCAAGGCCTTCAGATACATTTCTGGTCAAAAGTCAAAATAAAGTAATTTACTGGATCAAAATGACTTTTTCTAATACTTTCAGATACTCTTTTCTAGCACATTTGGCTGATATTCATTGTTGACAATTGCATGGAGATCATTGACCTATTTTCAGGTTTCTGTCTCACCTGGTTGGTAAATCATATAGTAAAGAGATAAGAATGAAATATAATTAAATGTAAAGGGTAATAGAAGGTTTGAAATGCTTACCCATATTGGTGAAAATGTTAGCCTTATTATCTTAGACCAGGGCCAGATATTCTCTACCAAGCAAAGGGATCCTAATGCAGATTGGCTGATCCAGTAGGCATAGGCTTTTGAAAATGTGAGCATTTTAGACATTTCTTATTTATAAATCCTTGCAAAACTCACATAATTATCAATAGAGTGCAGAATTAGTTTACATAGATAGACCCTCTAGACAGGTGTATAATCAGTCATAGATATAGATGGTTCTGTATATACATTCTGTCCAGAAGGACCCTTCTGAGCAATATACAAGTGCGCCTGTCTTGCCTCATGACCATAGTGTTACTGCTGTTAAAAAAAAAAAAAGCAAACACACATTTATAAAGCACAGAAGTCCTCCTAACAAATGTGCTTTGTGCTCAGCTGGCTTCTGAAGTCCAAAGCTGGCCAAGTGCAATACAAATAAATGAGTGTAGTAAGAAAACAGAGGTGGGAGGAGAGCCTAGTCACGTATATTGTTAGGTCACATGACCAGCTCATCTCCAATTGTGAAGCTCCCACTAATGCATTAGGCAGAGAGAATGCCATGGCACTGTGGTCTGCATTTTAAGAGTAGGCCGTAAAATACAGGCCACAGTGTGCATGGCCAAGCAAAGGGGCATAATGGAGAGTGGATAGTGCTATCTCTTAAATATATATATATATATATATATATATATATATATATATATACACACAATCACTGGCCATTTTATTAGGTACCGGGTTTGACCCCCCTTTTGCCTTCAGAACTGCCTTAATTCTTCATGGCATAGATTCAACGAGGTGTTGGGCACATTCCTCAGAGATTTTTGTCCATATTGACGTGAGTTACTGTTGTCTTTCTATCATCTCGAACCAGTCTGCCCATTCTCCTCTGACATCAACAAGGCATTTTTGTCCACACAACTGCCGCTCACTGGATAGTTTCTCTTTTTCGGACCATTCTCTGTAAATCTTAGAGATGCTTGCACATGAAAATTCCAACAGATCAGCAGTTTTTAAAATACTCAGAGCAGTCCGACTGGCACCAACAACCATGCCATGTTCAAAGTCACTTAAATCCCCTTTCTTCCCCATTATGATTCTCAGTTTGAACTTCAGCCAGTCATCTTCACCACGTTTAGATGCCTAAGTGCATTGAGTTTCTGCTGTGTGATTGGCTGAGTAGCGATTTGTGTTACCAAGCAATTGAACAGATGTACCTAATAAAGTGGCTGGTGAGTGTATATAGACCTGTTAGAGATGTCAGCTGGATTTGTACACTACAAACAAGGATTCTTCCAAGCTGATGGTGCAGCAGCACATTAGACACTTATAAAGCAGTAGTAAACTCGAGGAAAGATAAAAAAGAAACTTTTCCTCCTGCAAAGCAATGTTATAATGTGCTGTGAAACGTACCTTAAACCGAATCCCTCCAGTGGCACTCTGTCACCATTGACAGGGCTTCCATCTTTATCCAGTCTTCCTTCCAGTTTTGCCGGCTCTGGTTCTTTGAATGGATGAGCTGCAATGACATCACTCCCACGCATGCGCGTAGGAGCTACTGTTTACGGCACAAGGCTCTGAAGAAATGGCATGGGTAAGCTGTTCCTTCAGAATGTGTGCGCCGGTGACGTCACCTGTGGCTTTACAAGTAGGCACGGTGCAACAGTGCCTACAAGTAAGCCTTATTATAGGTTTACCTGTAGATAAAAGATAAACAAAAGCATTTTCTACCACTTTAACTCTTAAAGTTATTATGTTTACCATAGGTTCCTTTTATAGTCTTGTTTTGTGGTATAGATTATAGCAGCTTTATTTAACAGTAAATCTTTATTGCAATGAAAGGCAAGTGAAGTTAATCATCTTCAGCACAGAATTGTGGTAAACCGTATAATAGACTCACTTTTTCTAATTGCCTTGAATGTGAAATTCTATTTTTTTTTTTTTTTTTTTAGTAAATTGTATAACCATATTCGGGCTCTTGTGTATTTGTAAGGTATTTGTGTATTTTATTTCTGTGTAATTACTTCTAATTTAATCTTTTTCGTTTTTTAAATTTTGCCTTCAAAGAGTCATTTGCAGTTCCTGAAGTCAGGAATTCAAGAGGTGACTTCTGCATGTTGTGTATTTGATACTAATAATGCTGCTTTTTCTGCAATTTTTGTTTTTGCATTTTTTTAACCTTCACTTGCAGTTTTTGTATTTGTGGTTCTTTGTTTACTGCACATTGTGTTGCCTAATTTTTAAACGTCTTGTGTATTTATTTTATTGATATTTGTTTTGACCCAATGATTAAATGGCTTTAGAGTGATGTGCCTGCAGGCTTACTAGAAACTAGGGCACACCTAGGGAATCGAATGTAATGTTAAATGTACTATTAGTATGTCCAGACATATTCTATGCAGTTACAATATATAGGTAGTGTAGGGGAGGGCCACCACACAGGCTTGGAGGAATTTTGGCCCCAGTGCAATCCATGAAAAAAGTATGAAGAATATGAAGCAATCAGTGAGTGCACTTAACGGGGCTTCAGCAGGAGGAATTTTCCAATGTATTTTAATCAATGTCAACATTCCAGCAGTGCAATGCCCGCCTTTCTGAGAAAGCTGCGCTATGCCCTACTGAAACATTGACAATGATTAAACTATGTTGGAAAATTCCTCCTGTTGTAAGCCCCATTAAGTGCAGTCATTACCTACTTTATATTCCACATACAATATACACATATTATATCCAATGGAACATATACAGTATTACAGTCCGCAAACGTTCCTGGGGTGAGCAAGTTGGAAAGTGAAAGAGGCGACCTTCTTCTTTGAAAGGGAATTTGGTTTTGGGTATAGAGGAGGTCAGGACTGGTCAAATACCATAAGCTTGATAAATAGTACATCCACAAAATCACACCAAACATCTTCTCGGATTTACTATTGGATATCAGTGGATGAGTATTGGTGGCTATTGGATAGATTACCTCCAGAATATTAAACTGCTTTCTATTCTTCCTCTGAATCAGGAGGGGTTTTGTTTTATGGGTTTCTTGGGTCCAGAACTTGTATTTAGAACTGACGCAAACTGCAAAATGATAAACTTTTACTGTGTTTTGGTTACTATTCAGTTGGTTTAGAAAAGAATCAACCCCCCCCCCCTTATATAATCACATTTTGTTGCTTTGCATTCTGAAGTGAAGGGCATGTCTTTCACTTGGATGTTATAAGTTGCACAGAGTAAATACTGCTGGATTAAACAAAAACTGTGTCTGTCTTCATTTCAGGCTGCAAAGCAACAGTGTGATTATTTAAAGATTCTTTTCTATACCCACTGTATGCATTGGGACTGGTTCTTCATTCACATGTCCATGCCCCTCAGAATTCTAGTTGCAAAATTCCAGACACCATTATTTAGCCACTTGTACAACTCCTCATCTGTCCCAGGTTAGACCTAAATTCTGTCCATGTCTCTGCAATCTCAATCATTGTGATCACAATATACTGACCTCAGTTTTTATTTTTGGTGTAGCACTCTTAGGCAGAGCTCTGTTACCACCCAAGTACTGGTATTGTGTGATAATCAGACATGAGCTTCTACTGATTTTTGCTTTAGTGAAAACTATGATATAGACAGGACTATAAGAGGTTGATGCCATTTTAGCAAGCCATCTCCTAGTCAGCCACCAATATTTTAAAGGCATAATACTACTATCATGTCTAAGGGTCATTTTATTGGCTTTGTAATAAAGCTTTGCATGAAGTGTCTCAGAGCAATAACTGAGTGTGCACATTAACTTGAAAGTTCTGCACTGTAAATTGCACAGTTAAGTTTTTTTTTTCTAATTAGATTTTATGTAATTTAACACCTTTTTGCCTTTTATTTGCTTGTTCTTGAAAAGGCTACCACTGGGATACTTCAGACTGGATGCCTAGTGTCCAACTGCCGGATATTCAGGAATACCCTCATTACGAAGTTGTTGAAGAACCTGCTCCTCATTACACGGACCCTAATGTTATTGACACAGATTATTATCCTGGAGGCTATGACATAGAGAATGACTTTCCACCTCCACCGGAAGACTTTCCTTTGCCGGATGAACTTCCTCCACTGCCTCCTGAGTATAGTGAACAGGCAGATTCCATGCAGCCGCTCAGAGAAATGTCTACTGTAGGAAGCTTGGGCTCCTCAACAAAAAGTAATCAGAGATTCAACCTGAATAAGTACCTTCCACATCACCAATATCCAGCGAGTATGTCAGAACCTCAAAACACCACCAGTGGAGATAGCAATAGTTACAGAGAGCCTTATGCTACGTCCTACATAATAGGGTACAAGAGAGACTTCCAAGTCCCCATGGTGGACAACATGTCCATGTCTGGATACACCTCTGCAGCTTCATGCACTGACGTATCTGCGTGCTGTGAAATGGAATCAGAGGCCATGATTAGTGACTATGAGAGCGGCGATGATGGCCACTTCGAAGACGTGACAATTCCTTCCCTGGATTCCCAGCATCACACCGAAGTTTAACAGCATCAAAAGTGCCTGGACCTTTGTTAGCTTCAACATTTCATAATGAACTCATATCCTATATTTTTATTTTGTTGTTTTCTGTAGCATTATTTTTTTTCCTTTTTTTTAAATTTTTCTTGATTTGGTGATGTCTATCTGGCATAGTTGCAATACACCATACGAGTGCGTACGATGTATTTAATTCCTGGATCTGCAAGAATGAAGACAAATAAACCATTTGGATAGGCTACTTCCACTTCACCTTTATAGATTTCTATTTTATTTTTTTTAACCATGTTTTTATTTTTGAGCAAAACACCACTACATCATGGTAGCATGACATGTGTATTTATAAAGTACGAAATATTATTTTAACTTTTTTCCACTTGTAAATGTAATGTACAGTTTTGATTTCAATAGCATCAACTAGATTTTTGTAGATATTTTGTGGATTTCTTTCCTTTGGAACATAAGTTAGTTATTTCAAGATTTGCCCTTTTATTAGTCAGTAGATTGTTTCAATAACCTGGGCTTTGCTGTATCTCTATATTCCACTGAGGTTTTTGACTTCTGAAGTTGAACAGTTTCCAGGTATAACTGCAGCAACGACTATATATAACTGAGGCTTAGCCTGATCCTATTTAGATCAAATTGAAGATGTCTTCACCAGAGATTCTGTATTTTGGAATATTTTCCCTACTTGGAAAGTGTAATGGGGACCCACTGCATACCCGTTTAGAACCAAAATCACCACGACACGGTTTTTATGGTGTCTGTATATTTGTGATGCAATGGTCTTGTAAAGGTTTTTACTGAAAACTACCATTAGCCGGTCTTTCTTACTGACAATAAATTATTTTAAAAAAGCATGTTGTCGTCTTGATTTTTACTATTTATGCCTGAATTGTTGCAGTTGTAATTTTAATGAATGACCACTAGATGTCATGGTATGACTGTAGGAAAGTGTTGGGCAGGTTAGTGGAAGCAAATAACAGATGAAGTCGCAATTCATTCTACTATTTATTATTATTATTATTATTATTATACAGGATTTATATAGCACCAACCGTTTGCGCAGCACTTTACAAAATGAAGGCAGACATTACAGTTACAGTACAATTTGGTACAAGAGGAAACAGAGGCCCCTGCTCGTTAGAGCTTACAATCTAAGAGATATTTTATGTCTTATTCATTAAAATACTATATGGTCCAGAAATAAAAAACGGTAAGTGGCACAAATTTTACATTAATAGTCAAAGTTAAAGTTTATTCTTTCTGATAAATAAAGTTAGGACCACGGTCCGTTATAGCTTTCTCAATACATTCACATTCAATCCTCCATTTATGAGTTTTTTGGGCTGCACATCCAACACTTGGTACATCTGGTGCCATTTGCAGGATAAAAAATGGAAGGCAGTTCAAAGGTGGAAGCAGGTAACAACCATATGGGCCAGCGAGTCTAAATTAACTTAAAGCACTATTAAAACCAAAAACAACAATGTAATGTGTTGCAGCTTCCTAATCCTTAGATATGGAGGCAGCATTAGTTTCCTTTTTTTTTAGTCTTTATTTCACCTGGTCATCCGGCCAGTAACACAATTCCAGTCTTAGGGCCAGCCCACACAGCAACGGGAAGCTGTGGCACACCATACTACAGCGGTTTAGTGTGTGGCAGCTGTCTATTCCAGCTGAAGTGAGCCAAAGGGGGTGATGTGGTGCGTGTTTCAGCACATTACACAACTCCTTTTTTTCTTTTCTTTGTACAAGTTTATTTGAAATGCACAAAAGTGACACTTCATTCATGTCACTGTACAGCATTGCGCTGCTGTACAGTGACATGCAATTCTGTCCAGTGTGCTGAAATAAAATGCAGCACCCATAGGCGTGTGCACAGGGTGCGCCAGATGTGCCTGGGCACAGCCTAATCACCCTGTGCGGTGCAGATTCACGTTGCACATCCTAATCAACCCGTGTGGTGCAGATTCACGGAAAGGTCCGAATCTCCCCTTTCCATTGAGACCTTTTCCGATCATGTGGTCACTTGACCCTAAAACTCCGCCCGCCTCCTGGCTTCTAAAACTTGAAGGGCCAGGAGGCGCCGGCGCGAAGTGGTTAAAGTAGGTGGCAGGAAACTATTCTAAATTAGAGATTGTTTAAATTACTTATTGTAAGCTCTCCCTGCTTCAGGAATTTGGAAACCAAAAACACATAGAAATCAGAACCATCGCTTGTATAAAGTTGCATTAAAGTCGAACACAAGAGTAAAAAGTGAAGCTCTACCTTACTATCCAGGGCAAAATAACAGGTTCACATATTTACAGTAGGTTCAAGAACTATTTTCTATTTACTTGTTCCCCCATCATCCTAATCAGTTGCTAGGTGGGCAAGGAGATCTCTTGGGTTGGCCATACATGGATCTTTTTTTTTCTGATCAGCTTGTGGGCTGGTAAAATAATAAGTACACATATTCTCACATCCACATAAACAGTGTGGATAAAGGAATTCTCTCCACTGTGCTATTGTATTTTGGCAGCAAGTGGTTGTAAACCCTCACATATACCCAGTGAAGTGACTGGCCTGAGGAGATACAGAGATGAAGCAAATCCTCCTACATAAGTTGTAACTGTTTATCTGGAGCATTCTCTCCCCTACAGTTGAAAGTACAGAATTAATACAGCTTGTCTGAGCTTTCAGAAACGGAGTGGGGTGCTGAAGTTACACTCTGCAAAGCTCAGTGAGAGACACTCCCCTTCACACAACACACAGGAACACAGAGACAAGTACACATGCTTTATTCATATTTCATGTCTGGGGTTTACAACCACTTTAAGTGTTGCAGCCATATTTTGTATGGGAGGCCATAGTTGTACTTTAAGGGTTCAAAAGAGATAATGTACGCTGCTTTGAATTTACACAACAGACATTCTGGGGTTGATTTACTAAAGTATTTATTTATTTCAGGTACTTATATAGTGCCGTCAATTTACGCAGCGCTTAACATATATATTCTACATTCACATCAGTCCCTAACCCTCAAGGGGTGTACAATCTAAGGTCCCTAACCTACATTCATGCATACATATACTTGGGCCAATTAAGACAGGATCCAATTAACCTACAAGCATGTCTTTTTGGAGTGTGGGAGGGAACCGGAGTACCCAGAGGAAACCCACACAGACACATTGAGAACATGCAAACTCCAGGCAGGTGGTGCTGTGGTTGGGATGGATTTCAACCAACGACCCTAGTACTGCCAGGTGGCAGCCACTGTGCTGCCCATAAGTATTTAAAGTTTCATTTTGAAAAGTAAATGATATGAAGCTGTGCTGACTTCCATCATTCAATCATGTGCAAGTAAACTTTTTTTTAAACACAATTCTGTATTTTTTGCAAAGTTACAACTTGAATGACCACAGATGAATTATAAATTAAATGCCTTTATGTTATTGCACAAGAGCTCATAAGCCAATTGCCATAACCTTGCCCTCTACTAATTTGAACAAACCTCATAGCCTAACAAAACTAAGGGTTTGGCTCCTTCATGGTTAATAAAAACTGTATCTAATAACTACATTAATAAAATAGAAGGTGAAAAGGCACCACATCCCTTGAAGTGTTCCACCAAAAAAATATTTAGAAAGGAATGGGACTTTCAAGGCACCAGAAAAGATACATTCCACAATAAATATAAACGTTTTTATTTATTGTGAAATTTATGTCTCTCTTTGAACCTTGAAAGTCCCATTTCTTTCTAAATATTCGTTGGTGTCCTTAATAACTCCTGAAATATCTATTGTCTGACAATTTGTATTAAAATGTGTGTTTTAGGTGCATAACATATACATATGTTGGGCTTCCTCCAGGAATACCTGCCCTTAAAGTGGTTCTAAAGGTTCAGTTGTTTTTCTTTAAAATAATAAACACATCATACTTGCCTGCTCTGTGCATTGGTTTTGCACAGAACAGCTCCAATTATCCTCTTCTCAGGTCCCCTGATGGCCCCTCTCTCTTGCTGAGTGCCCCTCAAGCAAGCTGGGGGCATTCGTGGGACACAGAGCGTGAATCAGTCCCACCCCTCGCTCCCTCCTCAATGGCTTTGATTGACAGCAGAGGGAGTCATTTTCCACAGCCAATGAAAGGCTGTGTTCTTAGCTAATGTCATAGAGAGAGCTGCTGCTCTTGTGCACATTGATGGATCAAGATCAAACTCAGGTAAGTATTAGGGGGGCTGCAGGGGAGAACTGCCCACTGAAGGTTTTTTACCTTCATGCATAGAATAGATGAAGATAAAAACCTTCACCCTTTACAACCACTTTAACCTATTGTGTCGGGATCAGAGGGATAAACAGACTCTTGACAGACAGGTCAATAAACTTAAAATCAGCTTTATTTATCACCAAGCAGAAAAGTGTCAGGCTTTGTCTTCAGATTCAGTTTAAACATGGCAGGTAAATCTTCCCATAAGTACAGCACAGTCTTACATGAATAACTTTCAGCGTCCCAGCCACAGCATACACATATTTCAAAGTCTCTGTTAAAGGCCAGCTCACTCAGCTGGTAAAAGTCAGATTTTGGGGACTTCCAGGCAGCATCTAGGTCTCCTCACTACAGACAGCAAAACTGCCATCAACTAGCCTCTCTGATCAATGAACAGGCCTAAAAGGGAAAGTGCCTGCCCTCTACAATAAACCCCCTCTTAAACCTGCCCCAGGCTGACTCTCTACAATTGCTATATGTGTTCCAACTTAGAGAATCTCAAAGACCACAACATATAAAGGGGGTCTTGCGGGTAATATAGCTTCCACATATAATTGCAAATGTTGTGAAACTAAGACTTCTGTTTATACTGCAAATTGGTACATGGGGACATTTTTTGAAGACTACTTGGTAAGTGTGCTGGGAAAGCTATTGCTTTGTTTGTTTGTTCTGTGCACAGCCTTTCCATGTGCATTTTACACTATTAGCTAGTTATAAATTGAGGCGGTTTCCATTTTTTCTTAGCTTACATAGAAGTGCTA